AGAGAGAGAGAGAGAGAGAGAGAGAGAGAGAGGGAGAGAGAGAGAGCTCTCACACGATCCCCGATCAGCAGTGCAGAGAACAAACAATACACCCAATCCCCACCGCTCAGTTCAGTAGATCCACCCAACCAAACCACCTTCTGGTCGACCTGCTGTGTTTATGATAGCCCGGGCTAATCCCTTCTCCACAAAGTATAGATCTATAAGGCGTGAAGAGAGGACCAGGGGAAAAAAATACACCTATACCTAGACGGCCAGAGTCCTATACGACACGTTCTTGTACGTCCTCTGACCGTCTAGCCCTCTCCACAAAGTATAGATCTATACGGCGTGAAGAGAGGACCAGGGGAAAAACATGCACCTATACGTTCTTATACGTTCTCCGACCGTCTAGCCCTCTCAACAAAGTTTTTTTTGTTTTGTTTAGTATAGGGTTTTACGGCGCTCGCAACTGCATAAGGTCATATGAGCGCGCGGGACACACCTAATACTTTTTCGTTGGTAGGAAATTTTGAATTTTGCCCGGGTGGCGGCCGAAGCTTACTCTTATCGATTTTAGACCATCAAGGGATCTTTAACGTGCGCAACTTGCACACGGGCCCTCCGAGATTTTTCGCCCTTGTCCGAGAAGGCTAGGTGTAGATCTTTCCTACCAGAAGATCAGGGGTGTGGCAGAAAGACAGCAGTTAGCAGGAGCCAAGGAGTAGCAGTAGAAAGGCTGCAGAAAGAGTCAGGAGCCCAGAGGAGGGGGCAAAGGAGGTGAGGGGGTGGGGGCAGAAAGTGGAAATGCAAGCAGACAACAAAACATTGCTAGAGAGCAGGAAAGGAGGTGAAAGGAGACAATTTTAGAGAAGACAATTTTTTGGTCGCTACCCGGAATCGAACCCGGGACCTTTGAATGAGAGGCCAACACCTTAACCTCTAGGCCACGAGAGCCCCTTCCACAAAGTTTAGATCTATAAGGCGTGAAGAGAGGACCAGGGGAAAAGCATACACCCTATACGTTCTCTGACCTTCCTGGCATACACCCTAGATACTGAGAAAGCGTTGCGTACACCTCAAGAAACACGACGTGTTACCGCTACCTGTCAGTCCAGTCGGTGCCGTTCAAGTTTAAGTCAGGGGTGTACGTTTCGTCGTCAGGCTTGTCCAGCTGGAGAGAGGGGGGGGGGAGGAGAGAAAGAGAGAGGGAGAGAGAGAATGATAGGGGGGGGGGCCCAGAGAGAGAGAGAGAGAGAGAGAGAGAGAGAGAGAGAGAGAAGACTGGGGAGAATGAGGGTATAAAATCGTGTAGGGTTTATGTGTGTGTGTGTGTGGGGGGGGGGGGGGTAGAGTGTGAGAGAGAGAGAGAGAGAGAGAGAGAGAGAGAGAGAGAGAGAGAGAGGGAGGGGGAGGGAGAAAATAGTTGGGGGAGGGGAGGCAGGTAGATTTTGAATGATTGTGCTCTTGGACTTCTTTATAAAACTTAAATCTAGGTATTCAATTTTACGTTTTCTGCATATCACATAGGAATGGAAGTCTATGCCTGTTACTTTACTATACAAGCTCCTCACGCACCCAATAGAATTCACTTACAACCGCCTTCTCATGTCAAGATGTGCGCGTATGCCGGGGAAATCAATATCTACAAGAGTGCTTACTGAATGACTTTTGTACCTTGGTCTGAAAGAATGTATACAGATCTCATGCTGGTTTTATTATGAGTGTGAAGTTTTGACATGCCGGAGTGGTAAAGGCACCGCTGCTGCCTGACTAAAGAAACACAGTTTGCCCCCCCCCCTCCCCCCCGTTTCAAATGCACATATAAGCAGTTTCTTGAATTATAAATCTAATTCGTTGTGTCAGTGCGTGTGGTTTACATAAATCAAATTGGAAAGTGGGGACGAAAGGGGGGGGGGGGGTTAACATAAAATAAATTATATATTTTTCCTTCTTTTTTGGGCGTGTGTGTGTGTGTGTGTGTGTGTGTGTGTGTGTGTGTGTGTGTGTGTGTGTGTGCGTGTGTGTGCGTGTGTTTATGTGTTTATGTGTGTGTATGTGTGTGCCTTAACACTGTTTTTTTTCTTCTGAAGATAAACTGTTCTGTTATGTTTTACCCGTCTGGAATATCCTATGCGCTTCTTGATTGCTAGTCCCAAGCTGAAAGGTTTATGTTGGAGAATGAACTTTTAACTTTGGATGCGGGTGGTTAGAGAACACCACTGACAGGCCACACTTCTTTACTTTTCCTCTGTTGTTTCTGTTTGTCTTTTTCCAAGCACTAAATGGCAAGTTTATTTTTGTGTCGACGTGCTTCTCTTTACTCAAACAAATGAAACAATAACTTTGGGATGACTGATACCCTTCATATTCAGTTTAAGAAACCCAGAACCCGTGTATGCCAGATTTTTTTTTTCTTCTAAAATCGACGTTATTGCTTTTCCATGGCCGAAGATCTTTTTTCCGTCACACATCGTTTTGATATGAGGATTGGACTGTAAATAAGTAATTTACAGTCCAATCTTCATGGCATAGAAAAAATATGAGATGAAGAATGATTTGCCGACATTTACATTTTAAAAAACATAAAAACCCCAAATCTCACACGCATGTTTCCAATTTCACACAGGCGTTCCTAAAGACCAGGTACTCTCAAACTTTTGCCTTTCTTTTCTCAAACTCTTGACTCACACACCCCATGCGGGTGGATAGTGAATGCTCTGGTATGGTCTGCTCCTTCTTTCCTATCAAATATCTGTCATCCTTATTATCTCTCCTCCTCCTTTTTTTTGTGTTTCTTACTTTTTTAAAGCACCTCTAATCGTCGGCACTTACATGACCTTATTGTAACTATTTCTAAAACTAAACACGCGTCATCTTTTCTGATCTCCCACATGCTTTCCTGAGAATCAAATACTCACAAACTTTTGCCTTTCTTTATTCAAACTCAAGACTCACATGCCCCATGTTCTCTGATCTCCCACAGGCTTTTCTGATGCGCCTACAGAAGGTGAAGCTGACCAAGTCCATCACCTCTGACCTTTGGCACTTATCTGACCTTATTGTGTTGCAAATGCTGTAAAATGCTAACTAAAATTATTTGTTTTAAAACAAACTTCCACAGGTTTTCCTGAAGCGCCTGCAGAAGGTGAAGCCGACCAAGTCCATCACCTCTATTCTTCGGCACTTATCTGACTTTATTGTGTTGCAAGTGCCGTAAAACGTTTGCTAAAACGATTTTTTTATAAACTTCCACAGGCTTTCCTGAAGCGCTTGCAGAAGGTGAAGCCGACCAAGTCTATCAGCCGGGACAACCAGCTGCAGTCGTTTGAGAACACCACCCTACACGGGGTCCCTATCGGGGCTCTACACCCCATGCCTCGCCGCGGCCGCCGTCCGCTCATGGATGACTCCACTAGCTCCATCGGCAGCCGGACTCGCAGTATGACCAGCATACATAGGTGAGTGGTTATGGGGGTTGTTGTTGTTGTGTGGTGGTGGTGGTTTTTGTATGGTTGGTGGTGACTGTTGTAGAGGTGTGGTTGTTGTGGGGGTGTGGTTTGTGGTTTTTGTGGTTGTGGTAGTGTTGGTGGTTGTTGTTGTTGTTGGAGTGGTTTTTGTGGTTGTTGTTGTGGTGTGGTGACGATTGATGTTGTCATTGTGGTGACAGTTTACATACCTACTGACCCCCCCAAAAAACCTTTACCCGCGGGAAAGCCTATAACTCTGCACCAAAGTTCACAATTCACACAAAATTTGATGGAAAGCAAGCTGAAGGAGAAATATGTAACAAAAGCAACTACCTTGGAAGCAGCCATGACTACTCTGAAGATACAGTTCACTGTTGAACAACATATTTTTATGGTTGAAACATATATCGAAACAAAGTCCCCTATGCAGACACGGAATCTCTTCTGTAAATGGTTTGGAATTAACACTAAAGACCGTAAGAAAATACAGAGTAAAGTTACAATACTTAAGTAGGTGGCTGACTTCTAGTCACATGGCTCTGTTGAAAATAAAAACGAGAAAAAAAAACCTAGGGTCACCCACAGTGGGAGAGACCGATGCAAATATGCACTCCTGAGAATGTTGCAGTAGTGATGGAGCCTGTGAGGGAAGAACCTAAAAGTCAGTTCGTCGTCATAGTGTATAATTAACTATTGCTAGAGAATCTGTTTTGGCGCATGTTAAAGCGCCATCTGAAGTTTAAACCGTACAAGATCCAGGTACATCAGCAAAGATCAGCCACGCCAATGCAGCAGAGAGAGTGACAATGTCATAGACAATTAATTTAGTCAAGACCCTTAGAGTGTGTATCGCCTGAAACGGACGTCACATGGAGTGTGTGCTCTATCTTCCTTCAAAATTGAAATTTTTGTTTTGTAAATCTGTCATAATAATTCGGGATGATGACCAAGTACATATGTGAGATCTTGTGTTTCAATCTCTATTTTAACCGTTTTTATGCGTGTCTCCGTGGGTAAAGGTTTTTTTTGGAGACAACTTCAAAGTGTCTTATGATTTTTTTATAAAATTGTCGTTTTAGTGTGACATCAAAGTGTCATGATTTTTCAAAAAATTTGTCTTTGCGGTGTAGCTTCAAAGTGTCTTCGTGATTGGTTGGCGGGTGCTCTGGTGTGGTTTGCTCCTTCTTTCCTATCAAACATCTATCGATCTATGGTCCTGATCTATCCTCCTTTTTTGTGTCTGTTTCTCTCTTGTAACACCTCTAATCTTCGGCACTTATATGACCTTATTGTGTTGCAAGTGCCGTAAAAGTCTTACTAAAAAAATAAGTGACAAATAATTTTATTTTTTAAATTGTCCTTTCAGTGCGACGTCATCAGTCCGTTCAGGTGGCTCCCGTCGCAGCAGTCGGCCAAGCAGCGCGACCAAACGCGGGGACATGAGACCTGAGTGGTCCGACAGGTGGTGATGATGGCTGCGGCGCTGTCCTCACAGGAACGTCTACTGGTGCATGCATAGAACAAGAAAAAAAATAATTGACCAATACCACATTTTCGTCATTTTGTTTCTCATACTGTTCCTATCATCTGTAATATATGGGTTGTTTAAATTTATAGGGTGGGGGAGGGGGATGTTTTGTTTGTTTTGTTTTTCACGTGCTCTTTGATGATTTTTAAATATTTTTTTTGGAAAAAAGTGTAGCACATATTATTGATTTGTCTGATCAGTGCATACAAGAGTAGAAATATAAGCAACTGTATTTTCCTACGTCTCGAGTATTGTTAACTTTGTTGCATGGCGGTTCTCCGCATCTCTTTAGAACGTTCATTTTCTCTCTCGACATGTCTCTGTTTTGCATGACAACAATTTTCTGTCTTACAGAATTGTGCTTATAACACCATGGTTGGCCGTTGCTATTGTGTCTGGAATGTGATTTTTTTCAGGGCTCAGTTTTTGTGAGTCCTTGCAACAAGCTTTGAGAAATTGCCGATGGGTAAACTTTTTACTCGTTTGTAAAAAGTGTAAAGGGTGTTTAAGAGCGATTTGAGCTCTCTTTTTATGTAAATTGCTTGTTTCTCTTTTTGATTGTCTGAAGGATCCTTTTTCTCCCTCTGGCTTTTCAAAACAACAATGTTTAGTATGAAAGAAGTGTTCAGGTACATTAACTGTCTCGTGTACATTACCGTTATGTCATCAATCATCAAGTGGATTGTCTCTCTGTTGCTGGGATAAATAAGCCGATGGTTGGAGGGTGCCACTGATAGATCCTACTTCTTTACTTTCCCTCTGATATTTCTGTCTGTCTTGCTTTTTCCCAGGGCTTAATGACCATTATTGTGTCGATGTGCTTCTTTTTACTCAAACAAACTCAAAATAAATGGGAAAAGAAAAATAAATTCACAGATGTCATTCACAACATTTTGATTTGACAAAAGCAGTTCTCAAGGGATGCAACTGTCTTCAGTGATTTTAGTTCATGTTCACAGCTGTTGTATAGGACGAGGTAGGGTATAACCTGTCCTTGGTGTATATGTTGTCCCGCTGCCAGTCAGCTTAGTTTTTAACAGATTATGCGGGTGGTTGAAGGGCGCCACTGGTAGATCCTACTTCTTTTCTTTCCCCTGTTTTGTTACAGTCAACCTGTCTTGCTTCTTTACCATTTGACCATTATTTTGTGGATGTGCTTTTCTTAACTCAAACTCAAACTTTTCAGATCTCTGTAATAACCCCCCCATCCACCCCACACACACACACCCAATTTCGGATTCCCCCACTCTCACAAATTCTGTAAAACTAGTTGAAGGGACAAACATTTGTGAACTTTCGATTCCTGTGACATGTAAACACAACCGGTATCCTTTGCTCACTGCTTTGTTGTAAAATCTGTCCTGTTTGATGCCCGTCCCTTTTAGTGTATGCCTTTGTATCTTCGTACACCGAGAGACAGTTGCAAAAGATCCGTGGCTCAGTGCTGTTGGGGCAGGGGGGGTTGGTTGGTTGGTTATCATGCTCTTATTTTTAAAAGTTTTTCTTTTGATGAAAGAGCTTTGTTGTAAGGGAAAACATACTTGAATATTCTTCTGCCCTGTTGTTGGCAAGATGCTCAAATTGTGATGCAACAGTACCATGACTCATCAATTCAGACATATCCTGGGTATATCAGCCTGGGCAAATGCCTTTTACTTTTACACTAAAGTGTGAGCTTCAAGTACCGAGTGTTTTCATATTGTTGTCTCAGCCCTTGAAGTCAATAGTGTGTTGTGTGCTGTTCCTATTGTTTTTCTTGCCCTTGCCCTGAACCGAATCAGTCTCGCCTTCTACCATGTTGTGAGATCTCAACATTGCTCAGGTACATTGAAAACTTTTTGATGATATTATGTCCTTTCACTGCACGATTACAGCGGAAGTTTGTGGTGGTTAGTTGATATCATCATAGGAATAGGCTTTCTGGTATAAGTGCGACTTGATACAATAGAATAATGTTATTTTTTAAAGTTTTTGTGTGTTACTTACTATTATTATTATTATTATTATTATTATTTATATCATCATCTTGATGTATCAAATTAGGCAAATCAGACATTATAATCACTCAACTCAGTGATCTTACTAGGTGGTGTGAAAGAAGTTGTTGAAAAACCCATGGAAGCAATTTTGTATTTGTGTGTCTAAAGGATAGGAAGATATATATTATACAAAAGAACTCGATGTGTTTGGTTTGGGAAATGATAGAACCCGAGGCACAAATGTGACTTTCACTTTCTATCTTTGTTATGGGAGACACAAATGAGAGGCTACACCCTCCGCTTAAGATAATGATAAATGTTATTGTATGATATATCTGTTTGCAGAAAGTGCCACTGTACAAAGTTTACACAAATGTCTCTATTTTACTAGATGTTTCTACACAATTAACATCTATTGCACCACTTTAGAAATGAATAATGATTATTCTTTCTGAGTTTTTTTTTTTTTTTAATGTCTGAGAAATGATCCATGTTTTCTGCTTCATGTAATGTTTGTCATAATGTACACCTTTAGACCAGCCACTTGGGTGTAAGTAGGTGGTTGATGGGTGTGCTTGTGGGGGGGGGGGTTGCTTCTTCTCCCCTATCAAACGTCTATCGTCCTTATCCCCTCCCTGTTCTGTTTTTTGTATGTTTCTCTGTAGCCTCAGGTCAGCATTGACAGACAGGTTCAAAGCAGCCAGCCTCCTAAGTGATCTTTTAATCATTATTTTTTTTTTTTTATGTATCTGATTTCATGCCTCCATCGACACAATTTAGGTCATTTAGGAGGCGGGCTTTCAACCCTACCTGTCAGAGCCAACCCGGGTTGAGAGGGTTACATAATCCCATTAGAGAGACAAAGATACTCGATAAAAATTCTCCCCTCTCGGGATTCGAGCTCAGTTCTTCTACTTTCAACAGAGAAGCGCCTAATCGCTACACCACAGACACTGGTCTAATGATTTAATAATTTTACTTTAATTAATTATACTTATTATTTAGGAGGGGGAATGAGAAAATGGGTGGTTGGCGGGTGTTCTGGTCTGGTTTAGTCCTTCTTTCCTGTCAAACATCTATCACATTTATCTCCCCTTCTTCTTTTTTTGTGTTTGTTACTCCCTTGTAACACCTCTAATCTTCGGCACTTATATGACCTTATTGTGTTGCGAGTGCCGTAAAACTCTTATGAAAAAAGGGGGAATGAGAAAGGGCAAACTTTAAGGTTTAACTCATCCATATTGGTTTTGGGCGTAGCCTGTGATGATTAACTTTTAGTACCGTATGTACTGTTCTTGAAATAAACCTGCAAACATTTTTTCTTGCGTTGTTGGGTTTTTTTTTCAGTATTGTTTTTTTTTTCCTCTACGAGCATTATCTTCTGGTGTCTTTTAGTTTCTTCCTTAAGCCTCTCAACCTATGATGTTTCCGTCCAGTGTCTTGAAGGTGCAGGCTTTTAACAACCTGCTTTCATTTTATTTTACTTTTCTTTTCACAGTTTTTTGTTTTTGTTTTTGGGCTGTTTTTGTTTTGTTTTTTTATATTTAATTATATTATTTTATTTTTTTTGGTAATTTTTGTTTGGGGTGGTGGTTTGTTGATTTTTTGTTAATTTGTGGGGGGGTTGGGGGGGGGGGGCTGTTTTGTTTTGCTCAAAATGACTTACTGATATGAGTAACAGAATGTGTGAGACCATCATTTCTATTTTTAGAGTATGGCATTATTTGATATAAATCTACTAATGGTATGTTTGGACAGTTTATGTTGTCAGTAGTTGGCAGGTGCTCTGATGTGATTTGCTCCTTCTTTCCTATCAATGCAAACATTTATGGTCCTTATCTCTCGTCCTATTTTTCTTTGTATGTTACTCTCTAGTAACACCTGGAATGTTTGGCACTTATATTACCTAATTGTGTTGCAAGTGGTGTAAACTCTTACGAAAACTTAAATATAGATTTATTTTTTTTTCCTTTCTTTTTATCTTCAGGTTAGCACTGACATTTTGAATACACCCTGACAAAAATTAATTTCTTTTCTCCAAAGTAACCATTAAAAAAAAAAAGTTTCAAATATAGACCTATATCCACTTTGAGAAAAAGATGTTTTGAAATGAACAATTTTGCTTACTAAGATACTGTTTACATAAATTCATAGGTTTATGTGTTGTTATTCAATTTTATTTTTTTTATAGTTTTAGTAAGAGTTTTACAGCACTTGCAACACAATAAGGTCATATAAGTGCCGACGATTAGAGGTGTTACACGAGAGTAACAAACTCAAAAAAAGAAGAAGGGAAGATAAAGACGATAGATGTTTGATAGGAAAGAAGAAGCAAACCACACCAAAGCAATTTGTAAACTGGATACTGGTCAAAAAGCTGTATAAGATGACTAAGTCTTATCTTTGTGAGGTTTTGAAAGAGGAACCTAATAATATATAATATGTTGATAGGAGCCTTAAGCCTATCTATGCCATTTCACACTTTATTGTCATTCTGAAAAGGGGGCAGTTTGAGTCTGTTATTGATATTGTACTTCGTGGCACTTGTTCACTTGAACAGTAGTCAATTTTTTCTTTTCTTTTCAAAGGAAGAGAAAGAACATAATGTATCTTTATGATGTGCTTTAATACTTATCTTTCATATCTTTCATAGATGTGTACGGACATATTTCTGAAGCTCAATGGCTTGCGTATTTCAATTTGCAGGATGCTACCATGTAGACCTTAATAATACATGTATTAAGGTACAAGGCTGTTGTTAGTTGCTGGAACATAACATACAACAGTCTCGCTTCTGCAACTCGAGTAATGTTCTTTTCTGTATTTGCATAGTACCAATGTTTTGTCTTTAAAAAAGCCGGTTTAAAACGTATAACGTTTATTTCTGTAATTTTTTTAACCCCAAGAAATAATTCGTAAACTTCTCTAAAATAGTTTTTGTTTGTTTCGTTTTTAATTCAGAGAGAGCAAAGATGTGTTATCTGTCACTATAAATATGGTAGTTTGAGTCATGGTAATGCAAAAAGCTCGTTGCTTAGGGTGGTTGGTGAGTGTATTCGTGTGGTTTGCTCCTTCTTTCCTCAAACATCTATCGTCTATTGTCCTTATCTCTCGTTTTTTTTACTCTTTGTATGTTACTCTCCAGTAACACCTCTAATTCTCTTCATTCAATT